ACCTTGAACACTGTAATAGTTAAGCCAGTCACAAAAGCCTGCCCAGACTCCTGAGCAGAAGAAAGAGACTACCTCTTTGTTTTTAGTGTGTGTGTGTGTGTGTGTGTGTGTGTGTGTGTGTGTGTGTCACAAGGGATGGAAGATAGGACTTTCATGATGAGCTAAATCCCTAACTTTAAAATTTTTTTTAGGACAGGGACTCACTAAGCCCTTATATTGCCCAGGCAGAACTCTAACTTGGAATCCTCCCACCTCAGCCTGCCAGAGTTCTGGGATTAATGTACTCTACTACCTCACAGACTCCATCTCTTGATGAAGGAAGAGCAGGTCCTTGTTGTGGGTACTTTTGGCAATTAACATCTGATTTCATCACTTGGAACCAAAATAAAGAAAGTTTTAGTAAGTCCAAGTTGATGCACTAGAGTTTATATTTGCCATGCTATTTACCATTAGAGAACATACAGGGAATTAAATCCTAAAAGCCCAATGTCTTTGTTTCATCCCTGAGGAATCTAAGGCATAAAGAGAGCCAGGAATTTGCACAGATTCCCCCAGCAGACTACAGCCAAATCAGAGGTGTTAGGTCCCTTCTTGGTTTCTCCCTCTCCAGGCTCATTTCTGGAGCAGAGCTGAGTGGGACAGGACAGCACATATGGGGTTGTGGTAGTGGTGGTAGAAGTACCTATCAATAACAACCACACTGCATCCAGACATTGAATAACAGAAAACAGAACATTTGCCAGTTGTGGAGAGGGCTAGGTCCTCACCAGAATAATATTCAGAACAGACACCAGCCATAAACAATGTGTATAGTAGGACCAGTGTGTCTCAGCTAATATCATCTTTGCCTCCACATTGAGTCAAAATAAGAAAACATTTTCCTCTGTTTAAAACCAAGACTGCAACTCAAGCATTCATAGTTTTGGTCTAAAAACTTTTTGCAAATCCATTTTTTTCTAGGAAAAAGTAAAGTGTGATTTTCTCTGTGCTGGCAAAAAGAACATTGAAGGTACTCCTTAAATACTTTTTAGAAGTTAAATCACTTCTGCTGAGAAAAAATGTTGAGTCAATAGAAACTAAATCATGATCAGATGGATTAATTTTTTTCTCAATAAAATGATTTCTAAAGAAAGGGCAAAATGTTTCAAAGAATTGGCTTCCAGTAAATTTTATATTAGCAGTCATCACTTTTTAGTACTTAAGGCTTATCCAGTCTATTGTTATGGAAATAGGGATGCTGTCCCAAGTGCAACAGTACAATTTCACTGCAAGATAAACCAAAAGCCATAGTTAAAAATGCAGCATTTAGGTATTCTATTAGGTACAAGAAAGAAAAATGTGTACAGGAAGAAATTTATATTGACGTCTTCCATTTCTAGAGATTTGGTTCCAATAGGGAATTTCTACCTTACTGCTATTCCCTTCTGGATGGGCATTAACTGAAAAATGGGAGCTTCACACAAAACTCACTTATTAGAGCCAAAAATGTCTTAGGGAAGATTTTGTCCTAATGCTTTATTTTATAGGTGATGAATCAAAGGCTCTGAGAGGAAAATTAAGTCAGTCAGTCATACAGCTGGTAAAGCAAAAACGAGGACCCAGAAGTCCTGGCTCCAATGCCAATACAGTATCCTTATTACCACCTATCTGAATCTCTCAGAGACATTTCAGCAAAACCAGGAACCATAGTGAGAACCAGACTACCAGAGGAAGAGGGGACTCTCAGAAATGTTTACCTCTCAGCATCCACCTTCCTCTTCTAGAAGTCTCTGCTTTTGTTTGAAGAGCTCCTGCTCCTCCACATCAGGCTACAGGTAAGATGACGTTGTATTACTGGCCTGAGAAACTCAGCATATCACTATGGTTAAGCCAATCACCACAGTGCAACCAGTCCCACTGTGACTGATTAACGGAGAGGCACTTTACCCAGTCAAAACTAATGAAAATCAATTGAATGTTTGGTTTTGTTTTTAATTTAAGAAAAGGTCTAATTCTCTTCCTGTTTCAAGATAAAGAAGAGAAAACATTAGACTTGAAGCCACAGAAACTATCACTTGTGTGCTAAGACTATATTGAGTACAGCAGAAGACAGAACCAGAGATGAAAGAAACCCACTCCAGGAGACACTGTTGGAAGACTGAATCCATTTAGTGTTAAAGCAGCTCTAGCTGTGTGCTTTTTATTTACATCACTAATGTCCACCAAATTATTTGAGCCTGTGCAATTACAATTACAAAAGTTCTCTAGAACACAACACCCTGAAGATAATTACACCTACTCCTTGTCACAGATGAAAAACAAAACAAAACAATAACACCCTGAAGACAGAACTGAAACAACTTGTGCAATGTCATTGAATTCCAGTGGTAAAGCTCATCTATGGCTCCTGCTCAGGAGAGTTGGCATGATACTTCTCCACTAGAGGCAAGGGTATCCAAGTAGGGGCAAGGAGCACCAAGAAGGGAAGACTCAAATGGGACCAAATGTAGGTAGGGCTTACCTCATCCATCACAAGACACCAGCTCTTGAAAAGGGGATATTAACACTTGTGGACTGCTCACTTTTGCCAAACTCAATGTTGTAATCCCATTTAATCTCCTGACAGTTCTATGAGGTACCATTACTCAAGAAAACTGGGGTTTGGTGAGAAGTCTTTCAGGCAAGGTGCACAAAGCAAATTTTAAGTGTTTACTGTGTGCACAGAACACAAGTTATTGGAAGAAAATACTACATATCTGTTTCCATACATTAATATCACTAACTTGATAAATAAAATGTTTAGGTGACCATTTAGGAAATTCAGATAAACACCACTTTGTTTGCTGACCTCACCAGGCTATGCATGACTTCCACATGAGCCCCCTACTGCTCTGCTCTCTCCTCCACAGCATGTACAAATGTAAGACAATGGAGGTGTTGAGGATAGGTGAGGTCAGCAAACAAAATCTTGTGCAAATGCCTAAAATGTTTTGCTAAAGGAATAAATGATTGCACTAAATATGCTTTGACACCTTTTGCATGTGTTTCGCTTTTTGTCCATTCTAATATACAACTGATAAAATTTCACCTTAAAATATCATTGCTGTCTTTCTTCTGGTAGGTCCACCATTTCCTCCTTCTTCAACAAAACACCCCATTTCAAAACTCCTTCCTAACAGCTGCCGTCCCCAGGGACTTATCTCTTCCTTCCTCATTTTACACTACACTCTTCTTCCAGCACGGCCTCCTCCCTAAGGGAAACCACCCTGCTGATCAGCCCTAATAAAAATAATCAACGTTACATAAAACTTTACATTTTGCAAAGCAATTTCCCCCATGGTCAAATCACTTGATAGTCACGATAACTCAGAGAGCAAGGCGAGACAGATAATATTAACTCTTGTTTCAAATAAGAAATCCAAGGCTCAAAGGGGTGAAGCAATTTGCTCAAGACTATGCAGCAAGTGGATGCACAAAGACTCACATCATGGTTTCCTCTCCCCCAGCACCAAGCTCTTTAAACCAAATGATACTTCACCTTCCTTTCTATTGGCTGCTAATGCGGTTTGGGAAGAGATCTCAACTCATCCAACCCAGCGGAGGTGGGAGGGGCTCTACCCCGCTTGCTTCCACTATCACAGCATTGCTAGCAGCTGGCCTCACAGTACAGCTCCGCCTCAGCTCTCCTCTTTTGGTAACAAGATCACCTCAGGGACTGGTGAAGAAACAAGGCGAAGCCAGAGGAGAGCTAATGTGGATAGAGAACATTCACAGGGACCGAGGACCGTCTCCAGGTATCACAATTTCCTCACTAGTTCAAAAGAGAAAAAGTCTGTCCTTCAGTTACTTCAGACATGTGAGTGTTTAAGACCAGATCTGTTATCTTTATCAAATTGGGTAAAATTTAACATCTCTTAACTTCCAAAATGGCAAAAAGCATATTAGCATCACAGGATATTTCTGAGCAGCAGCTAGGATGAGTAAATAAAATTCTTTGGATAGGAACTCAATAATGAATGCTATCATCAATACTTACAGAATAATATATGGTAATAACATACATACATATATAATAATAAATATATGAAATTGTGTACCACAAACAAGACACGGACAGAACAAGGAACCAAAAACTGTCTAAGGAAGCTTTGTAAACAGTTGGTACTTTGGGCATCAACACACAGTTATCTAGTATTGGTCTTATTTCATTCTGCTTGAAATTTTTCCTAAACAGAGATGGATTTACTCAGAATCATTCTTTATGTGTGAAGGAAGCTGACTAAAATGTACACATACCACAGAGCACTGACGAATGCCCTTTAATCAAACTGGGGGCAAAACAGTGTTTAGGGAAATTTTGGATTTATTCTCTAATGAAGCAGCTTCAGAAAAATCTTTGGCACGTGATGGTTGCTAAGACACCATCAAGAGATGAGAATACAACTAGTGTCACTTTAAGGGTAAAGAGTTATGTCATCCTGGGGAAAGATAATTCTGGTATGTAAAACCAGCAGAGTATCCAAGTCTACATTTCTCTGAGGAAGTCTAACACTGAAATCTTAACACTTCAAAAGACCCTGACATTTTTCATGTGGCAACCAAATTTCTTGAGGCTGTAATGTTTCAGCATGAAAACCAGAGAACCTGGAAGGACTACACGGCAAAAATAAATTTTGTGCCCACGTCAAGGTTATTGCACAAGTTTTAGAGACTGGACTGTGATTTTATTGTGGTTAAATTTGTGAGTCCCCTTCACTGGACTAGAGGATGCTCCATAACTGGTGAGTCTGAGAGAGTGTTGCCAAAAAGATTAGCATTCTCCTCAGTAGACTGAGGAGAGGTGATGCCATCACTGAACAACTGGGCGCCAGCCAATCTATTGAGGGCCTGCAGAGAAGAAAAAGGCAAAGGATGGACAAATTCTGCTTTCTTCTTCAGCAGGTGCATTCATCTTCTTCCCTTGAAGAAGCTCCTGGATCTTGGCCAGTGGACTCTAGAGCACATACCATTGGCTCTTTTTGTTCTTAGGCCTTCCTATTAGGACTCAATGATGCCCCCAGCTTTTCTTGTTCTCTTTCTTGCAGATGGCAGCCAGTAGACTTGGCCTATAATTAGGAAAGTCAAGTCTCACAATAAATCTCTATCCACATGTATACATGCATGGAAACATATACTGGTTCTGCTTCTTTGGAGAACCCTCACTAACACAGATAGCTAAAAAAAAAAAAAAGAAAAAAAAATCCTACCAGGAAATTCAAAATGTGCTACTTTGAAGAAGACAATGTTTATTCCTTTTTATGCATTTCATATATATGCTGAGTGTTTTAGCTCTTCTAAATACCACCTGTGTTTTGTGAACATCCAAGAATAAAATCTCATTCATATATTCAACAAGCTGAATAAGGAGACAAACATTTATTAAACAGGGATGGGTTCTGGGTGAAATTGGCAGAATATGATGGCTGAAACAGCCTCCATCCTACGTGCTCTTCTAGAACTGAATCAAAACCTGAATCCCCTGCCCTTATACCCGAGCAGACTGGGTGACCTACTTCCGGGTAAAAGAACATTGCAAAAGTGATGCTGTGTGACTTCCAAGGCCAAGTCCTAGAAGACAAGTATCTTTTGCCCTGCCTTCTGAAATACTTACTCATGAAGGCTTTGTTGCCATGCACTCAATCCAATTACCCTGATGATGCCATGCTGTGAGGAAGCACAAACTAGTCAATGCACAGAAACCACCTGTGGAGTCTCCAAACCACATTAAAGGAGAGAGATGTTCAGCCACTGGCAGCCGCTTTGCAGCTCTCCCTTTCCATTGTTCCAGCAGCAGCCATCGTTTAACTGTGCTCCATGTGAACCCCAAGCTGGTCACTTAGCTGGAGCCTTCCTGAATTCCCAGTCCACAGAATCATGAGAGAAAGATGTATGCAGCTCTACGTTTTGTGGTGAATTTTTACACAGTAATAACTGGAATGATGAACTTTGAGACAATTCCTATCTGCTTTGTCTGCATTTTACTCTGTGGTCAACAGTCTGGCACACAGTATGCATTCCACAGGTATCTACTAGACTTCATTGAACAGAGGTAAGTGCTAGGTACAGTAGTAGCATAAAATAAGCATGATTAATGACATCAATGAATAGGAAACGTCACAGAGGAGGTGACAAATCAAGGTCATCTCAAAGGATGAATCTATATTGTCCAGTGAAATAAGGAATACAAATGGAATACCAGGTAGAAGGGATAACAAATGTAAGATGCAGAGCCTTAGAACAGCTTGTTGGGATTAAAGAAGCATAGTAGTTTAATAGGGCTGAAATTGGGCACATAAAACACATCATGGGAAATGTGGTTGGACAAGCAGACGGAGCCAGAGCAGGAGGGGCCTTAAATGCTCACTCACACATGGGAACAGCAGGGAGAGAGGTTGCACTTACCCCCTTACCAAGTCGAAGGTCCTCTTGGGCCAGAGAGGCCTTCCCTCCAAGTCTCTCCCTGTACTGGGCACGTGGTCTGTGCTCTTCATCTCATGTGACTGAGAACTCTCGGAAGTAACTCAGCTCTATACAATTTGCAGAACTTGATCTGGTCTTCATTAAGCTGGATGCAACACCTTTCTAGAAATGGAACACCAATTGTCTCAGCTCTTGAATCTCTAATATTCCTTGGGGTTTCTAGAGAAACTCCAACTTTGAGGGACACCGATTTCAAAAAGAGGACTCGGGAATGTATTGCTATGCTTTGCTGATAGTCTCCATCGTTTTATTTATTTTCCTCTAAGTGCAAAGAATCTTTATTTGATCCAGTGGAAAACAACCTGGATATATAACTAGTCTTTCAAGTGTGCCATTGTGCACCTGGGCCCTAGACCTTTGAAATTAAAAGCCACAAATTAATTAATTCTCTTATTATCCATGTTCTGCAATAATATCCTTGACACAATGATTATGTCAAACAGTCTGCACTACACTTTGTAGAAACAAATATATCAACATTCAGTGGCTTAACCAGCAAACATCAATTTCTCTCTCTGCTACCCATCTAGTGTGGAGGGTCCTCTGCTTATCCTGGTCGCTCAGTACCCAAGACAGACACAAGCTCCATCTCAGTACGTGCTTCGGGCAGCCCCTCATGGCGAAGTGAAGGTGTTGCAGCGTGTGCTGGCTTTTAAAGTTTCTGCCTAGAAAAGCACATGTCATAGCCATGACTCTTGACAAAAACCTGCTTCAGAAGCTACAGGAAAATATTCAGAGGAAAAAAAGCTTTGGGTACTGTCATAATCTGCTTGGGCTGTATGTTACTCTACTTGCACTACAAAAACAAATTATCTGAAAGAGAAATTTATAAAAAGCAGATGTATTATAGTTTTGGAAGCTGGGAAGTCCAATGTAAAAGCATTATCATCTGGTGAGGGCTTTCTGATGTCACAGGACATAATGGCAGAGGGCATCACATGGCAGGAGGGCAAGTGTGCAAGCCTGGGTCTCTCCTTTTCTAATAAAGCCACTAGTCCCACCATGGGACCCCACTGTCATGACCCCATCTAACCCTGATTACCTTCCAAAGGCCCCCACCTCCAAGTGCCATTGATATACAAATATGAAGATTAAGTTTCCAACACATAAACTTTTGGACAACACATTCAAAGCATCAGAAGCTGCTATAACAAAATAGCGTGGTATGGTTGACTTACACGACAGAACCTTACCTGTGACAGTTCTGAGGACTGGGAAGTCGAGCACCAGAATGACTTCATGGCAAGCTTCTAGTGTGGCCTCACTTCCTGACTCACACACAACGTTCTGCTCACCTCCTGAGCACGTGGAGGGGTGAGCGAGCAAGGCTCTTTGGTATTTCTTCTTAGAAAGACAAAAATTTCATCAGATCACACCACTACTCTCAAGTCCTCCTTTAAGCTTAAACTTAATTACTTCATTCCTGCAAATATAGCCACACTGGAGCTGAAGGCTTCAACATATGAAATTTTAGAGTACACATATAGTCAGTGTGGAAGACCTATTACTGTTGATAAGGGTGGATATGAAGCCCTAACTCTGTCCTTGAAAAAAAAAAAGGATTCTATTAAAATTAAAAGCAAGCTATGAAATAACTTACTGCTTTCTGATATTGTGTAGTAATTCTGTTTTCTGTGCTGGTTTTTAAAAACAGAGTTTACACATTATTTTTTAAACACATTCACCTAGCTAATTAATCAATAATGTCTCAACTAAAAAGAAATAGGTTGGAGTTCTTTCTTTTCTTCTCATTAAGCTAATGTTTTCATTTCATTCAATAAATGAATAAATAAATTCCTTAAATAAATGTAAGGAATTCTTTGACATCACATTTTATTACAAGAGTCTTTTCCCATCCAAAATGCAAATCCTTACTTATGAATAATCATAATTCAGATTACAGTATAAAATCATTAAACAAGCCAATGTAGAGATTATGGAAGGTCATACACAGACTTACTAGAATTGAAAATGATTTCTCACTATTTTTTTGTTCTGAACTTTGGATTATTGTTTTCTCAAACAAAGATTTTTAAAATAACTATTACAATTTTCTACCAGATTTTTTAGAAGTTTATAAAAAAACTAATTCACCGAAACTACTTCTGACGGTTTCTAAACCTAAATGTCATATGAGGTGCAGTTTGTAATTTAGCACATCATTGTTAGTGTATCTAACCAAGAAATAAGAAGCAGAGAAAGGGGAAAAAGGAAGGGAGGGACGGACGAAGGGAAGAAGTCCTTAGGTACAGCCTGATATTACGTTTCCTTTGTCTCAAACATCTCCGCTTAAAACTAGGCTGTTGTGGCTGGTGTTCAACAATATCTGGGTCTTTTATAAAGTAGCAGGACTAATCCAAGAGAAGGTAATTTAAGTACAATTATTTTCATGAAAGTTTTCACCAGATCTGAAGCGGCAAAAGCAAACTCAGTCATGCATAAATGAATGAAGAGGTGGAAAAAACAGAGATTTTCTTTTCCAGCTGCTTTTATGAACCATGGACTCATTGGACAAAGCCTTTCTTCCCTCCCCAGTTTTCTGGACCATAAAGTAATAACATCTACTCTTTCTAAGATGTTTTTCTATTGGTTTCTTCCCACAGCCAGAAGTGGCTTTCATGGCTGGTGAGCCTAGGGAAAGTGTTACTGCGGCTGCCTGAGTTTTCTTGGGTCTCTCTCTGCCTCCTCACTTGTCTTTTTCTCCATGTGATAGTTCCATAGGAAAAATGCATCCACGCAGTGAAAGGTCTGAATACATACAGCATTTCTGCTTCTGACTGAATGTGTAACTTCAATTCAGAAGAAAAGTACAGAAAATCCTTTTGTGTCTCAATCTCACATTCTGAAATCTAGCTCTGTAGCAACAATACTCCTGCTCTTGACTGTCTCACAAAATACTAACAACTAACCCCTATATAACTCTAATGCCCACTGCCTAAGCCTCAGAACCTGGAAATACGTTAGATTACATGGCTAAAGAAGAATTAAAGAATTAAGATTTCTAATCAGCTGACCTTAAAATAAAGAGGTTATCCTAGCACATCCAGGTGGCATCGGTGTATTCACAAGAGTCTGTAAAATGTAAACGAGACAAAAAACTAAAAGTAGAACTGCCATGTGACCAGCCGTACCATTCCTTAATATATATCTAAAGGACTTAAAGTTAATATAGGGTTACTTGCATAGCAATGTTTATTGAAGCACAGTTCATTCACAATAGCCAAAATAGCCCACACCAGCCTAGGAGGCCCAAAACAGACGAATGAGGACAATGTGGTGCATTTATACACAATAGAGTACTACTCAGCCCCAAAGAACAAAACAATGTCATTTGCAGGAAAATAGATGGAAGTAGAGATGACTGTAGTAAGCAAAAGAAGTCAGACAGGAACAAAGCTCTCAAGAAGAGCACATTCCCTCTAATATGTGGAATCTTAGAAGGGGAAGGGTGGAGGAGGGCAATCAGTGTAATTGGGAGGATGGACACAGTCAAAATGTTGTATGCATGTAGGATACCACATTGAAAGCCAATATTTTGTGAAATTACTATGCACTAATAAAAATATATTTTTGAAAATGGAAGAGAAAGACAAAAAGTTAGTTGCACAGTCAAGTGACGTAAGAAATACTTAGTGATCATTCTTGGTTTTGGAGCTGGAAGAAGGAATTTGTGAGCCAAAGAACATAGGTAAGTTCTCAAAGCTGTAATAAGATATTCCTTGCCAGAGCTTCCAGAAAACATCGCAACCCTGCCCACATCTTGATTTTAGCCTAGTAAGGCCCATTACAGAGTCCAGATCCCCAGAACTGTAAGATAATCAATTTGTGCTCTTTCAGCTTCTAAGTTTTCAGCAATTTGCTATAGGGGCAACAGAAAGCTAATACAAGGTAAGTATCTTCAGTCATTGATCTAAGGAAACTGATGCAGAAAATGTCTTTTTAAACAGTCATCCACAGTCATACCCTGACCAGTGGCTTCCAGAGTCACCCTCTGGATTGAGGCATCAGTGATTTCCTCCATCAGAGTGTAAATGGGTGAGAAGTAAAACTCAATTAATTATCATTTTTACAAATTTCAAAAGAGGAAAGACAATAATGATGAATATTCTGTGACTACTTACAACTTTCAGCATTTGGCGTATATCCTCTCATTTGACTCACTGGCAACCTTCTATGGTAGTCACAATTATTACTCCCATTTAGAAGGTAAGAAAATTGAGGCTTGCAGAGGTGAGGCAACTTGCCTAACTCACAGGATCAGAAAGTAGTGATGGTAGGAACTGCACAGTGCAGGCTGACAGGCAAGCCTTACCTGTACATAGACTGCTAGCCTTAAAGAATCTACTATCACAGGTCTTCCTGGACAGACAAGTAGTAACGCATCAGGGCCCTGGTGATAAATACAACCTGAATTGGGAAAGGCAGTATTTTCAGGTATTCTGCATGGGCATCTGGAAGATGCAAGAGTACAGATGCTCTGACCTGATTTGTTATTATACTCAGTCATCCCCTGGAGGTTTTCAGAAATATCTGGGGCAAGGAGCTCACCCTGCAGGAAAAAGTTGGTGCAAAAAATCAACAAAATATAAGATATTATATATGCTGTGACAATCCAGAGGTTGGTGAGTCCAGGAAAAAAACAGACACATTCTAATCAGTGTAGTTAGTGAGCTGTTGCTGGGATACTCAGAACCATAAAATATTGGCAGAGTATGATAAACACTTATTTTTCATTTATATGCCTGGAATTCATTTATGTGCTGGACCCAGCCTGGGTCTCACCTCAGGATGTGAACCAAATCCATGTATTCCCCGTGTATCACTCATTCTTGTGGGACAGACTAAGCAAACTAAGAGTGTAGCTTTTTCATGGTAATGGTACAACACAGACAAGGGACATACATTGCCTCTCAAGGACAAGGCACTTGACCTGCACTTTGTAACTTCTACCCTCTCTGAAATCAAGTCACATAACCAAACTCGGCACG